ATGCACACATACTATATACCTATTCTAGTCATGGGTCAAGTCACACTTTTCTGTGGACTCACCTCCACTCTTGCTCAGGGCTTTGTGGATGAAATCTGCAGCAGGCTGAAAGTAGGGGCTCATATCAAAGGTGGGTGAGTCATGTGCCTCAATGCCCAGGTAGCAGATGCCAGTGCCTTCATAGTAATCTGCGCCTCCCCGCCACTTGTTGTGAGAAGCATTGAGGATGTGGGTGATGTTCAATCGGGCCAGCTCACCTCTATTGGCTGCTATATCTCTACATGGAGGGAATGATAAAGTAAGGGTCATTTACAAATTCTCAATGAAACAAATCACCGGGACCTTACATCCCAGAAGACCTTACATCTAAAGGAGCTGGCAGAGGTCATCTCAGAACTACTGCTCGACATCTTTCAAAAATCCTGGAGCACCGGGAAACTACCAGAGGACTGGAAAAGAGCTGATGTGGCTCCCATCTTCAAAAAAGGAAAAAAAAAACCAGGAAACTACAGACCAATCAGCCTAACATCAATACTCGGGAAGATACTGGAAAAGATAATTAAAAAACAGATCTGCCAACATCTAGAAATAAGTAAAATAATAACTAGCAGTCAGCATGGGTTTGTTAAAAATAGATCATGCCAAACCAATCTTATCATTTTTCAACATAGTGACCAGCGAAATACTGTGGACATAGTATACTTAGACTTCAGCAAGGCATTCGACAAAGTAGACCACAACTTACTTCTTGGGAAGCTAGAAAAAAGTGAGATAGATAGAATCACCTCCAGATGGATTTGCAACTGGCTGACAAACAGTACTCAATGAGTAGTCCTTAATGGATCGAAGTCTACATGGAAGGCAGTAAGCAGTGGGGTGCCACAAGGTTCTGTTTTAGGCCCAGTACTCTTCAATACTCTTCCTCGGTGGCATAGAGTGCAGTACTGCAAGCTACTCCTACTACAATTTGGCAGATTGAATCCCACCAGGCTCAAGGTTGACTCAGCCTTCCATCCTTCTGAGGTGGGTAAAATGAGGACCCAGATTGTTGGGGGTAATATGTTGACTCTGTAAATTACTTTGAGAAGGCTGCAATATAAAGTGGTATATAAGTCTAAGTGATATTGCTAATATCTTCATAAATGACTTAGATGAGGGATTAGAAGGGGAACTTACCAAATTTGCAGATTATACTAAACTGATAGGAATAGTAAGCACCCTAGAAGATAGGCTCAAGATCCAGATGAATCTTGACAGACTTGAACACTGGGCCCTATCTAACAAAATAAATTCAATGTAGAGAAAAGTAAAGTCCTACAATTAGGCAAGAAAAACCAAAAGCACACATATAGATTGGATGAAAGCAGGAATATTAGCAGTAACCGTGAGAGGGATCTTGGAGTCTTAGTGGACAACCAGCTAAATATAAGCCAGCGGTGTGCAGCGGCAGCCAAAAAAGCCAATGCAATCCTAAATTGTATTGAAATAGGGATACAGTCAAGTGAGGTACTACTACTACTCTATAAAGCCTTAGTAAGACCACACCTAGAGTACTGCATCCAGCTTTGGTCACCGCACTATAAAAAGATGTTGAAACTTTACAAAAAGTGCAGAGAAGAGCAACCTGGATGATGAGGGGACTGGAGTCCAAAACAAATGAAGAACTGTTACAGGAACTGGGCATGGCTAGTCTAGTGAAGAGAAGGACCAGGGGAGACATGACAGCAGTGTTCCAATATTTGAGGGGCTACCACAGAGAGGAAGGGGTCAAGCTATTTTCTAAAGCACCTGTAGGCCAGACAAGGAATAATGGATGGAAACTGAATAAGGAGAGATTTAACCTGGAAATAAGGAGAAATTTTCTGACACTGAGAGCAATCAACCAATGGAACAGCTTGCCTTCGGAAGTTGTGGGAGCTTCATCCCTGGAGGCTTTCAAGAAGAGATTGGACTGCCATCTATCAGAAATGGTGCAGGGTCTCCTGCTTGGGTGGGGGGTTGGACTAGATGACCTACAATGTCCCTTCCAACTCTGTTAATCTGTAATCTGATCCTTCTCTTGTTCCCAGAATCATTGCTTCTATCCATTCCTTCTCAAGTTTTTTTTCAATCTGCATTTAGCTGGCCTTTTTAAAAGAATATATGGTGGAGTTTTGCTAAACCAATTCCTAGCAAATGGCAGTTTTGCAGTCAGATTGATGCCTGGGATTGCGGAGGTTCATTTTATTTTGGACCAGTTAACACAGAAGCTCAGAAACCACTGTGCAAAAGATCCTGTCTGATCTTTGATTCCTGCTGCTCTTTATCATTTGTTGGGAAAGCCTTTCAGACTGAGCTACACAGTAACTTTTTTACCCAGTTGAATGTTTCCCAAATCTTGTGAGAGTATCTCCTCTGTCCTTGAAGACAGCAAATGAACTTCCTGTGCACCCAGCATCTGTTATGACAATTTTCTCCTCTATCAGTGTCTTCCTTCCTCCAAATTTGTCCTGAGATAACTATAGTAACTAATACTATAACCGCTGATGATAGAATCCTTCTTTCAAATTTTGTTGCATTATATATTTAACAAGTGATTTGTGGCAATATAGTACAGGTAGTCCTTTACCAACATTTATTTAGTGACCAATGTTATGACAGTACTGACATGATTGGTTCTCATACTTACGACAGTCACAGCATCCCCATAATCACATGATCAAATTCAGGCACTTGGCAACTAACATGTATTTATGATATGATCATCATTTATAAGCTTCTTAGTCAGCTTTATACAACAAAATCATAAGGAAAGCCAGACTCATTTAATGACTGAAGCAAAAAAGAAAGGTAATAAAATCAGATGCAATCACATGATAACTCAGTTAATGACTGCATCAGTTAGAGATGAGATTCTGGTTTCAATTGTGATTGTAAGGTGGGAACTACCTGCAAGTTCTTTCTTTTCTTTCCCCATCTGAATCCTTTCCCTAATCGCCACTATGTTGCCCCTTTGCTTCTTCCCCAACCTCCTGGAAGTGGCCTGTCTCCAGCACTGGGATCAATACGTACTGATCTCCCAGGTAAAGTCCTGGACAGACCTCATCCACATGGTTACAGGCTGTCTTCCCCGTGTACAGGAGTCTCTCAAGTTCAAAAACACTGAGGATGGGGTGGCTGACGGTGTCATCATGCGTCCTCCAGACAGGAGATCTAGATGTATTCCTGGAGAACCGAGACATGAATGCCATGGGTGCCACTGTGCCCCCTGTTGCATCCCGGGCTGCTACAGGGGGCTGGGCTGGGGCCCAGATAGTATTTCTGCTATGACCAACACCCACGGTTGGTTTCTAATCTGAAAAAGAAAGGAGAACGGTATCAGAAGCATCATCTCCTGAGATTCTCATGAAGTTGGACATTTCCTGTATCAGCTGCATTGTAAACGTTGATCCTGATCCTGTAAAGAAAATTTTAAAAAGGCATTTTTAAGAAGATTCCTTCTTCCACCACCCACGGTATTTATTTTTTTATTATTGATTTATTATGAAATTTATTTGGCACCCATCTCGTATCAAAAACTCTTACAATATAAAACATTAAAAACATTAAAGTCATCAGTTATAAAATAACAAAGTTGATAAAACCAGATAAAATCATTAACATAAGATAGCAAAGGAGGTGCCAGGAGGTTCATGGGGATGGGGTAGGATTAGATTTTAATTAGTCAAACACCTCCAGTGTGACGTTCCCCCATTAGGTCACCAAGCCATCTGGCAAATCCAGATCTTAAGACTCTCACAAAAAGTCAGGAGGATGGGAGCCAGTCTCACCTCAGGAGTTAAGATGTTCCAGTGAGCAGGAGCCATGGCAGAGAAGGCTCTTCTCTGGGATTTCATCCAAATCAAATTCCTTCGCTGACAGGATCTGCAATCTGCTCCTTTGATTATAGCTGAATCAGCACTAGCATTGTGTGTGTGTTTGTGTGTGTGTGTGTGTGTGTGTGTGTGTGTGTGTGAAGAATATTCTAACAGAGCAGAGGGAGGGAAAATTTCAGGGGCTGCAAGAGAGGCTGTAGCCAGAGGACACTTTAACGTACAAAGGATGGGAAGGGATGGTGAGCTCAGAACTAGTCATTTATTGTTAATGGCCTAAAGTCCCTGGGAATGGGTGGCCAAACAATTTAGTAAGTGAACAAACAAATGAATGAAAGTTTGGCTAATGGTAGTTCTCACGCAGGGTTCAAGCCCTGAGTTAAAATGTAGGTTCTTTCCACTAAAGAAACCAGCTTCCTTCTACATCATAACTTTACTCAACTTACCTCCTCAACTTACAACCACAATTGAACCCAAAATTTCTATTGCTAAGTTAGACATTTATTAAATGAGTTTTCCCCCATTTCTTTCTTCCTACATTTGTTAAGTGAATAACTGCAATTAAGTTAGTAACATGACTGTTAAGTGAATCTGGCTTCACCATTGACTTTGCTTGTCTGAGGTCACAAAAGGCACTGTAAGGCACTGTAAGACACTGTAACCATCATAAATATGACTCAGTTGCCAAGTGAATTTTGATCACATGACCCTGGGGAAATTGCAATGGTCATAAGTGTGAAAAATGGTCATAACTCACTTTTTCAGTGCCGTTGTAACTTTGAATGGTCATTTAATGAACTGTTGTAAGTTGAGGACTACCTGTAGTTTCTGAATAAGCCCATTTGCAAAATATTATGAATCAAGATCTAACCAAGCATTCAGGCTCATGCAAGCAAACTGTCAGGGTTCCAGAAAATGCCACTCCAATTAAAAACTCAGAGACAGGCATTTTCTCAGTTTCCTTTTATTAGAGTAGGTATACTAACATATCTGGGAAATCCTGAATCTGAAAGTTCTGGGTTTCCCTCCAATAAGTAAAAAATTACAAATCCACCCCCTGCCCCCATCATTCCATCACATGCCCCAATCACCATCCGTCCCAACTTGAGATGTCCCCTCTACTACTACTCAGCCAGGTGATTATGTCTAATCACATACTCTCCATAAAATCCCCTCTCCCATCTTCCCATGCTCAGGAATGTGGCAGCATGGAAGCTTCTAGTGCTAATATGGCTTCAAAAGCTGTCAGTAACCAGTCTTCAACTCATTAAACTTAGCATATTGTGCCAACGTAGTCGCTTGATTTAAAATTATGGGAACACTATTAATGATTTCCTTATACAGATATTGCTTCCATGTAGAAAGCTATGTGTATATGAGAAAATTATTGTTACAAGTGCATGCAGTTAGAACACAAAGTCATCTTAGTGTGCCTTTTCCTATTGTTTTGCAGTTGCTGGTTCTCTTAGGTGAAGCTGGCAGCCATGAAGGAAATTCAGTCCTTGAGTTACATCAGTTCCTCTATTAGAAAAACAAGAGCTGGTACATCAAACTTCATTCCGATGATTGATGGATTGATGGATTTATCAATGGTTCAACTTGGAACAAAATACATCTTCAGTAAATAATAATTAAATCCTTACAAAAACAATATGATGGAGAAACATTAAAAACAAACTATGAAGACCCAAGGATGAAAAATACTGGGAAACATTCCTAGTCGAACCACAGACAACTACAATGATCTAATACATATCGATTTTACAGAAGACAATGTTGAAAAAGCACTACGCAATCTAAAACCATCTCTATCTATTGGACCGGACGGAATATGTGCCTACTTCTTAAAAAAGCTATCCACTGCCATAGCCGAACCTCTAAGCATAATCTTTGAAAAATCTTTCAGGACCAGCTCCTTGCCAAAACTATGGTCACATGCCACGGTCCCCATCTTCAAAAAGGGAGACCCCAGCCTAGTTGAAAATTACAGACCAATCTCTTTATGCTGCATCACCTGTAAAGTCATGGAATCAATTATTAACCAATCCATCATCCTCCATTTAGAAACAAACAACCTACTCTCTAATAAACAATTTGGTTTCAGGAAAAAACTATCTGCAACTCTTACACTGCAAAAACATATGGACTACACAACTCGATCAGGGCAAAGCAATAGACACAATCTACATAGACTTCTGTAAAGCCTTTGATTCAGTGGTACATGACAAACTACTCCTAAAACTAAAATCTTACGGTATCTCTGAACACCTGCATAACTGGATAGAAGCATTCCTGTAAAACAGACAACAAATGGTCAAAATTGGGAGCCCTATTCCAGAGAGGCAACACCCAGCCAGGCTTCAGGGGCCCTGTCCAGCCTAGATACGCTGCCCGCCCGGCTCCTTTCATTCCAGTTCAACCTGCAGGTGCTTGGTATGTACCACCTCCCCAACCATGACCCAGGCCGGACCAAATATCATTTAAGGCTGTATTCGATGGCTGCCATGAACATTTCAATTACTTCCTCACTCGAATCCAATCTCATATAGAACAATTTGGGAATCAATACGCCACAGAGCGCGATTTGGTTATGGCCATAACAGATGGGATGAATGAAGGGGATGCTTCAGACTGGGTGGCCCAATTACACAACGAACAAGCCCCCGAATTATACAATGTAAACAGATTTATTCAATGATTAAGACTCAGATTTGAAAATTCAGGCAGGGTGGCAGAGAATGAAAAGAAATTAATGGAAATGAGGCAAGGCAAGCGACCCTTGTCAGAATTCATTTGGGACTTTAGAAGGGTCACAAGCCACCTCATGGACTGGCCTGAAAGAATGACTTTACACTATTTTTAAAATGCCATTGATTCAGAAGTAACAAAGGCCTGTGAAATTAGGGGAATCCCAGAGACCTTACAATCGTGGTATGTCATATCCCTCAGCTTAGTTCGCAGCATCAGCCCACACAGGAAACCCCTTCCAGCAGCCCTGCCTAAGAGAATTGTGGCTAGGAGGCTATTTACCGGGTCAGCTGAACCTGCTCGTACCTAACCTACCAGGGTGCTGAAATGTTACGTATGTGGCCAAGACAGCCATAGAGCAGCAGACTGTCTGGCCCCTGCTCCTGTACCACAAGCTCCGCAGTCAAAGTCTAATCCAGTTGTTAGAGGTCAGAAGAATCAAGAAAGATCTCCAGTCAGAGGCAGGTTCGCCAAACACAGCTGAGAAAGCCCCCTCTGCGCAGATGGGAGCAACGGACCACCAGACCGCCACCACGTCCCCAAGAACGCGACCTGTGAAGACGACCCAATGGTGAGTGATCCCATCATACCTTTTACAGTCAAGGTTAAGTTAGCGGTACCAAACATGGGGGAGGCTAGGGAGTTAGAAGCTGTCATTGATACTGGGTGTTCTAGATGCCTTATCAGACTCCCCATCATTGAACAATTGGGCATAAAGACTAACCCGCTAAAACGCCCAATCAGATTTGAGTATGTGGATGGAACCTTAATTGGGGGGGGCAGCCACCCAAATGACAGAATTGATCAAGATGGAATTAGGCCCTCATTGCAAACTCATATGCTTCATAGTGGCCCCCAGGATGTCAGAATCAATCATATTGGATCTTGCTTGGCTAGATAAATGGGCCCCTACAATCAAATGGGAGGATGGATTCAGGAAAATCCTCATTGGACCGGGCCCATTGCCCCCTCTTCCTCCCACAACAGTCAACTTGAAACCAACCCCTGAGCCAGCATCCACAGCATCCCACCTTCTCCCAGATAACCCCCAATTACCCAACCAATACCAAGACTTGGCTGAAGCATTCAGTGAAGAAGAGTGTAATGTTTTACCTCCCCATCGAGCCACTGATTGCAGCATAGAATTAGAACCCGGGGCAAAACTACCAAAACCAAAGATGTATTCCATGACACCTGCTGAAATGACTTAATTAAGGAAATACATCAACCAAAATTTGGACCGAGGTTTTATTGAACCTGCCAAATCAAGATTAGCTGCCCCCGTGTTGTTCAAAGATGGCGGGTTGAGATTATGTGTAGACTTTTTTGACGCTGTGTACGTCAAAAACATGTACCCTCTCTCCCTCATGAAGCACTTATTGAACCACCTGTTGAAAGGCAAGGTATTCACCAAGCTAGATCTCAGAGAATCTTACTACCGGGTCCACATCAAAGAGGGATATGAGTGGGAAACAGCTTTTAACTGCCCTTTGGGTAGCTTCCGATTCAAAGTCATGCCTTTCAGACTTCAGAGGGCTCCCACAGTGTTTATGTAACTCATCAATGAGGTGCTACACCCACACTTTTATCGGGGGGTCCTCGTATATCTTGATGACAAACTTCTAGCTGCCAAATTATATGTGAAACTCTCAAAATGTGAATTCCACAAACAGTCGCTGGATTATTTAGGCTACTAAATATCCAACCTGGGAATTGAAATGGGCCCTGGAAAGGTGAAAGCAGTGCTGGACTGGCAACCCCCCAGAACCCAAAAACAACTTCAAAGTTTTTTAAGGTTTGCCAACTTCTATAGACAATTCATTCTGTCCTTTGCTGAAGTTGCCCTCCCTTTAATGGAGCTATTAAAAATGGGCCCGTCACCCACCAAACCAAAGCCAAGTCAACCCCTGGCTTGGAATATGGACTGTCAGAAAGCTTTCGAGACCTTAAAACACCTCTTTGTAGCTGAGCCCATCCTCCAGCACCCAGATGCGACCAAGCCTTTTATTGTCCAAACTGATGTGAGTGATGTAGTGGTGGCAGCTGTTCTGCTGCAAAAAGACTCTCAAAACTGATGGATGCCCTGCGCTTATGTGTCCAAAAAGCTGACGGACACAGAGCAAAGGTGGGTGGTCTGGGAGAAAGAAGCATTCACTTTATGATGGGCTTTATTGACTTGGAGCCATTTCCTAGAAGGGGTGCCGGATCCCTTTGAGATATGGACTGATCACAAAAACCTTGAGGCTCTAAAGACCCTTAGGAGATTATCACCCAAACAAGTCTGCTGGGCCCAATACTTCAACCGGTTCAACTTCAACATTAAATATATCCCTGGAGGGAAAAACATATTGGTGGACGCCCTGTCCAGAAAACCTCAGTTTGACAGCCACTGAGAGGAAATAGTACAAGCCTTAATTTCAGAAGCTCAATTGGCAGGCCAAGTAACCACTCGAGCCCAAGCCAACCGCAACCTCAAACGCCTGGAAGATAAGCTGACCGCAGAATTGAAAACTGCCCTATTGACTGATCCTTGGTTCCTGGACCATCAAACCAAGTTAACAATGAATGAAGGACTAGCTTTATCTACCCACAACCCTAAGACTACTGGTCCTAAATTGTAACCACGACTCGTGGCTGGGAGGCCACTTCGGATTCTTAAAAAACCTACATTTACTGAGAAGACAGTTTTGGTGGCCAAAACTGAAACCTGACATTGAGGACTATGTAAAAAGTTGCTCAATTTGTGGCACAATGAAACACAGAACTGGAAAAACCCCTGGCCTCCTTCAACAAGTCACTGAACCAACCCAACTATGGAAGAAATCGCAATGGACTTTATTGTGGAATTACCTGAGAGTGAAGGGATACGATCATTTGGACTGTAATTGACTTATTCTCTAAACAGGCCTACTTTATAGCCTGTAAAGGACTTCCATATGCTAAGAAGCTTGCAAAGCTATTCGTGAAACATGTCTATAGACTACATGGAGTACCTAGTAGAATAATATCAGACAGAGGGGTACAATTTACTGCAAAATTTTGGAGGGAATTTTTGAAGTCCATTGGGTCCTCCCAAGGATTATCCTCAGCTTTCTATCCTGCTTGTAATGGAGCAGCGGAGAGGGCTAACGCCATGATTGAACAATACATTAGATGCTATGTAAATTATCAACAAGAAAATTGGGCTGAGTTATTACCTTTTGCAGAGGTTGCTTACAATAATGCAGTACATAGCAGCATGGGGTTGACTCCATTCCAAATCAACACTGGAATGGATTTTGTCCCTATGCCAGAGTTACCTAGACAACCTCCCTCATCCATGTCCCTAACAGAATGAATGAACTCATTAAAGAAAGGTTGGGAAGATACAAAAAAAGGTTTTACCGAAGCTGCAAAAAATTATAAAAAACAGGCAGATAAACATAGATCCCTTCAACCGCCCTTTAAAGTGGGAGACAAAGTATATTTGACAGCCAAGTATCTTAGGTTGAAAGTGCCCAGTAAGAAACTGGGGCCAAAATTCTTGGGTCCGTTCCCAATTTCAAAAATAATCAATCCGGTCACTGTCCAATTAAGTCTTCCACGACTATTAGGGAAGATTCATCCAGTGTTCCATTGTAGTTTACTAAAACCAGCTGCTACATCAATGTTAAGACCACTGCCAATCGCTCCCCCTGACCCATTAATGGTACAGGGGGAAACACATTATGAAATTATGAAAATACTTGATTCTAGATTATACCGTGGACGATTGCAATATTTGGTCTTATGGAAGGGATACCCTCTCTCAGATGCTAGTTGGGTAAAGAGTTGGGATGTCCATGCTGATCAATTGGTTCCCCAATTCCCTGAGGACTTCCCCCACAAATCAAAGGGTCCTCGTGGAGGGGGGAGAGAGGGTTAAGGACAATGTATCTGTTTTGGTTGTTTTTCTTTTAGGAGAAGGAGTTTTCAAACGTTCAAATGTTCTACCATCATCGCAGTGCCAAAGAATCCCTCCATCAAGGAACTGAATGACTACAGACCAGTTGCTCTAACATCTGTAGTTATGAAAATCTTTGAAAGGCTTGTGCTGTCCCACCTGAAAACCATCATGGATCCATTGTTAGATCCCATGCACTTTGCATTCCGAGCAAATAGATCTACAGATGATACTGTTAACATGGCTCTGCATTACATCTTACAACACCTTGAATCTCCAAATACCTACGCAAGGGTCCTCTTTGTAGACTTCAGTTCAGCATTCAATACCATCATTCCAGACACTCTTCTAAGTAAATTAAATCAACTAGCGGTACCTGAACACACTTGTAAGTGGATCATAAGCTTCCTAACAGACAAGAAGCAGCAGGTGAAGCTAGGCAGAATCACATCCGATACCTGTACAATCAGCACAGGGGCCCCCCAAGGCTGTGTGATATCTCCACTTCTCTTCTGCCTATATACCAATGACTGCATATCAAATGATCCATCTGTTAAAATACTGAAGTTTGCTGATGACACAACAGTAATTGGTCTCATTCGAGACAACTATGAATCTGCATATAGACAGGAGGTTATACAACTTGCCTCATGATGTAACCAGAACAATTTGGAACTGAACACACTCAAAACTGTAGAAATTGAGGTAGACTTTAGAAGAAACCCTCCCATACTTACAATAGAAAAAGAAACCCTCCCTCTTACAATACTAGACAACACAGTATCAACAGTAGAAACCTTCAAATTTCTAGGTTCTACTATATCACATGACCTAAAATGGACATCTAACATCAAAAACGTCATCAAAAAGCACAACAAAGAATGTTCTTTCTGCACCAACTCAGAAAGCTCAAACTGCCCAAGGAACTGCTAATGCAGTTCTACAGATGAATTATTGAGTCTATCATCTGCACCTCTATAACTGTCTGGTTTGGTTCTGCAACCCAACAGAACAGATACAGACTTCAGAGGATAATAAGGGCTGCAGAAAAAACAATTACTACCCACCTGCCTTCAGTCGAGGACCTGTATACTGCATGAGCCAAAAAGAGGGCTGTGAAAATAGACCCCTCACATCCTGGACATAAACTGTTTCAACTCCTTCTCTCAAAACGACGCTATAGAGCATTGCACACCAGAACAACTAGACACAAGAACAGTTTTTTCCTGAAAGCCATCACTCTGCTAAATAAATAATTCCCTCAACACTGTTCAACTATTACAAAGTCTGCACTACTATTACTGTTAATTTTCTCATCACTCCTTATCACCCATCTCCTCCCACTTGAGATTGTAGGACTGTAACTTTGTCACTTGTATCCTTATGATTTATATTGACTGTTTTCTAGTATGATTTGAGTGTTGATTGTACCCTATGATTATCATTAAGTGTTGTACGTTATGATTCTTGATTCTTAACAAATGTATCTTTTCTTTATGTATACTGGGAGTATTTACACCAAGACAAATTCCTTGTGTGTCCAATCACACTTGGCCAATAAAGTATTCTATTCTATTCTATGGCAGGGGGAGAGGGGTTAAGGACAATGTATTAACCCCTGTATCTGTTTTGGTTGTTTTTATTTTAGGAGAAGGAGTTTTCAAGGGGGGGACACCTGTCAGCTCTGAGATCAGCTGCCACAAGAAAATATGTGAACAATGAAGGGGGGTGAGGGAGTTGAACAGTTCAAGGTTATTTAGTATGTTGCATTAAAACATTCCAGCTGCAGTTAATTGGTTCTCATGATTTATGAAGTGCAGTAAGTGGGAGGAGATAGGGTGGACTTTGTGAGATGCGCTGGGAATGAGTTTCAGTTTTGGAAATTTCCATCGCCCTACCAGAGCTGTTTCTAATAAATCAATTGGAGATCATGCTTGTCTTGGAGTGATTGTTTACTATGGATAATTTCTGGATGCCTAACACTCTGCATGACAACTTGGTCAGATCTTACCAGAGAAAAAGAAGTAAATGAAGATAGACAATCCAGCAAAAAAACAACAACCTTAGTCCTATGAAGGGTTTTATAGGTAAGAACCAGCATTTTGAACTGCAATAATAATCAGTTAGTTTGGTTGATTTTTTTTGTTGGTTTCAAGTTGTCCTTGACTTATGACCACAACTGAGCCCGAAATTTATGTTGCTAAACAAGGCGGTTGTTAAATGCGTCATGTCCCATTTTTCAACCTTTTTGCCATGGTTGATAAGTGAATCACTACATTTGTTAAGCGAATCATGTGGTTGGCTTCCCCAATTGACTTTGTTTGTCAGAAACTCCTTAGAAAGGTTAAGTGACAATCCCAGGACCCCAAGATGCTGCATCCATAAATACATGCCAGTTGCCAGGCACCCAAAGCTATGGTAATGGGGATGCTGCAACAGTCATAAATGTGAGAACTGGTCATAAGTCACTTTTTTCAGTAAAATTATAACTTTGAACAATCATTAAACAAACAGTTATAGGTCAAGGACTACGTGTAATTAGCTTGATTTTTCAGCAATCTTTTTCTACAGGTGTCTTGGGTTCTGTAGTGTAGTGTAGCACTGTGCTTTATGTACTGGGCTTCTCTTTTGAAAGCAGAGAAGTCCACCAGATATATTAAATGTTGCATTCTCTCCTGGCCTTGAGCCCTGGCAAATGCTCAGTATTGATGTCCTTGTAAGCAATCTCAACTCCTGCACTTATTATTAGATTTGTCCAATGTATATATGATTGAGGCTCTCTTTGAACATAAAAAACAGGAAATCAGAAAAACAGAATGCTTTTGTCAAATAGAAGAATTGGAACAGGTTTGATCTGATCTTCAAAAGATCTATAAGATATGCTGACAATCTAGGCTAAAAAAAAATCCATGATGCCTTTTACATATTACTAAAGTGAAGACACAAAACACTTTCTGTTGAATGACTATTTTTACTCTGTCTGTTTCCATCTACTGAACTACTTCTTTGCTTTCAACTCCATGCAGAGTTGCTGCTGTCCAATTTAGACAAATTTAGCCTGTCTTTTGTTAAAAACAAATAAGCAAGCTGAGCCCTAAATGCCACCTCTGGATTTATTAATAGGTTTTCTAACATTTTGCATTAGCTTTAATCTAATGAAGGTGGGAGGACTCTTTTCTCTTAATGCCTGTACTGACAAAGTTAAATGAATCAGGGTCTGTGTGGGCTCAGTTGTTGCTTTCCTTCAAAATGAGGTTTTGCCAGCCACAGTTATGCCAATATGAGGGAGGGCTGACAGGGCAGAATGTGCATGAAAAGGTCTGGCAGGTGCTAACACTTTGGACAGAGAGCTAAGAGCAACAGAGGAAATATGCTAAGAGCTAGGGAGGAGAAGAAATTGTGTTTTCCTCCTAATGTAATCTCTTGTAATAATGTTTTGCTGGCAGGACCTGGAGAACATTTTGAAGAAACCCATGGAATTCCAGTAAGGGGAGACTTCTATAGATTCTGGCTTGCTATATTTGGTCAGAAATGGCAGCCAGT